TTAATTTATTAAATTAAATTTTTTAAAATCATGTATACGTTAATACAACTTGGATTTTGTTTGTTTAATTTGATACAATAGTTTTTTTCGGGGTATATTAATTACAAAATAATTTTGCGTGTTGTTATATATTGAAGATAATGCCACTTAGGTTTTTTTATAATTTAACAACAGTTTTTTATTAAGTCATATTATAAATATATCTAAGATGATACAAGGTCTCATTTTTTTCAATCTGATACAATTTTTTTCGAAGTGGAAACGTTAAAAAATATAATTGGCGATTTTTTTACATTTTTAATGTCTATTTTTCACGGATTTCACTAATTTTTGCTAAGTTTTTGTTTCATTAATAATAAAATGATTTTGCGTAGTCTTGTTAGACATTAAAGATAATACCTATGAATTAATAAAAATAATACATATGAATTTTTTAAAATTTAATACAACAGATTTTTTGGATGTATAAAATTTACAAAATGATTTTAGTGATTGTATTATACATTGAACATAATCCAATTTGGTTTTTTAGATCAATTATAATAAAATACAGCGTTTACGAAACCATTTTATCCTTATTGTTTAAATATCAAGATAAACAAAACTACTATAGAAAAATTACTTTTTATTCATGATTAGTGTTACATTCCTAACAACCTATTATTCACACAAATACATAATATTTATTTTATTTTGTCTTTTTACTTTACATTTTAATATTTATTTTTATTTATTTTATTACATTTTATTTTTGTTTTATTGCATTTTTTAGGTATTTGTGGACACCTCACCCACTCGTCACCGATCCAGCTGAGGTAGGTCTCAGTCGACGCGTCGGACTCTGAAACACACGATAAGTACCCGTCAAAGGGATCGCAAACGTACGCGAGCCGAGAAAATACGAGAAATAGGATCGCGCAGAGCGACCAACCAGCGACGAGTGATTGTCGACGAACACATCTCGTTCCGTAACGAGCGCATGTCACGTTCACATGTGCGACCGCACGGCACGGAGAGCCGACAAGACGCGCTCATTGGACAAGCTGCGCACGACGTTGACAACGCACACTCGGTGCGCGCGCGTGTGTATGTGCAGCAGACGCACGGCGACGTCGTCGTCGTACGAGAGAGCGTCCAATTCCCCGTTGAACTTGGCACGC